TTGTTTTACACACACACACACACACACACACACACACACACACACACGAACTAGCTGCAAGCTTTAATCCGTTCAGTCAAATTAATCAAGCAAAGCATTGGCTGATTAATGGGATGGGACATATTTTAAAGTGTGAATGTAGGGTTCAGAGTTCAGCTCACATTTATTTGCTCAGGCTACTTTGATTCTAGTGCAATACTATAAAAAGGAAGAGAAAAGAAAATGCATATTTATGTGATGGGGATTTTTGCCACAGAGTTGTGCTGAGCAGGGTTGCAGTGGTTCGGAGTTGTGGGAGGTCAAAGATCCATTGCTATTTCTGCAGCAGGGTCCCTGTCTCCAACACCCTAGTGGTGGCTCATAATGAGTTCAGTGGACGTCCTGCTTTTTGACATCTGCCTAGGACTGCAAACACAAGTAGGTTCTCAGACAGTGGGGCAGGGCATGACACATGCTTTTGACTGGCAATGGGGACCCTGAAGTGTGGAGTGATTCTATATTTGTAAATTTAAATAAATATTGCAGACATCATATAGCTCTGGTGCTTCCTCATACGAAGGAAAATGAACTCAATAATGATATCTTTACAGCTCAGAAGGGGGGGAAGCATACAAACACATACTTTATATACATATACTATCTCTTCACTCTGTAGAGGTTTAATATAAACATTTAAAAGCACATAAATCCACCTCTGATCATCCCAGAATCATCCCAGAATTAAATAGTGTTTAATTATGGGGGGCTTCCACTATGAAGAAAGGTATCGTGTGCAATGTGCACAGAACTACAGTGGTACCTCGGGTTACATACACTTCAGGTTACATACGCTTCAGGTTACAGACTCCACTAACCCAGAAATATTACCTCAGGTTAAGAACTTTGCTTCAGGATGAGAACAGAAATCGTGCTCTGGCGGCACGGCAGCAGCAGGAGGCCCCATTAGCTAAAGTGGTGTTTCAGGTTAAGAACAGTTTCAGGTTAAGAACGGACCTCTGGAATGAATTAAGTATGTAACCAGAGGTACCACTGTATAAGATCAAAAGGCTGCACTCCTTAACCTAAACATGTGTGCATCTGCAGCAAATCTACATCCAGGTTAAGTCATTGTGTTATAAGTGGAAATTTAAGAGAATATTATATATTCATCTCACTGATGGATGAATGCAGGGCCAAGGAATGTGGTGTGAAATATATGCCATAGCTGTGAAATTGTTCTGATGTTTTATTATATTTTATTTTAAAAGGAAATGGTTGTTTTTCTCAGTTCAAAGTGGATTGTTGCTTGATGTGTGTTTTTTTGTGGGGGGGTATGTGTGTTAATTCCCAAGCAGTGTGCAGTGGGCCACTTGCAGGTGGCCCTGAGAGCCATCGCCTGTAGTATGCCCAGTTCCTGGCCTGCCCCCAAGACATGTCATAGCCTTTTGGTTGGACCGATACCAGCACCACCAACTCCTGGCTTGCTGGATAAAGATGGTCGAGGGGCAGAGAGGTCTGGGGGTGAGGGAGTGGAAGGGAATAAAGGTTTCTGTGGGGCAAGGGTGAGGAAAGTATAAGGTGAGATAAAAGGGTAATATTTATTTTTTATTATATCATCATCATCATCAACGATGACAAACAAACTGGAAAGAGAAAGGAAGAATACTTATCAGTCCGAGCCAAGCTACTTTTGCACATGATGAGGGGTGTAATATGTAGCCAGGCTTACTTACTAGGCATAGATACAGATGCTCACCAACGTAACGCAGGTTCCTGTACTGTAATGTTTTCAGTGCCTGCTAAGACAAGCTTGTTTTAGCAAAGCTTCCTAGATATGTAAAGTTGCCATGGATTTCAATATGTAATTTTATTTTGTAATGTATATTTTTTTAACTGCTGGCTTTATTTATATTTGGTGGGATGGGGTGAAATTAGGACAAATTATTTTTAACTTCTGATTTTTAATGATAATCTCGGTATATATGTTATGTAAACTTAGAGGTTTCTATGATGAAGCAGGGTCTACTAGGACCTGGGAGATCTGGGTTCATATTCCCCCTCAGCCATGAAACTCGCTAGGTGACCTTGGGCCAGTCACAGTCTCTCAGACTAGCTTTCCTCACATGGCTGATACGAGGAGAAAATGGGGGCAGCAAGGAAAGGTGAGATATAAATGTGACAAGAAATACAAATAAATAAGGCTGCTGATTTTGACATGAGTGCCCTGTGCTTCGTGTTCTGCTGCCATTTCAGGAATCCTAGTGTTAGCCTTTCACCCACGGCCTTGTTCTCGTGGCTCAGCAACTGCTGCCACCTTTTATGCATTCAGTTCTCTCCCACACACACACAGATGCCAATCAAGCGTGGGGATCTTAAAGTCAAACTGTCATCGCACATGACAGGATCTCATTAGCACCCAGTGGGACCTGTCAAATTGACAGGCACCTTGGCACGTGCATGGGCCATGGGCTTCTTTATGGCCAGTTTTTATTTATTATTATGCTTTATTCTGATTTATCACACCATATTGCACAACACTTCGCAGAGTCAAATAAGCATGCACGCATACAGACAACATCCCTGCTCCGAGGAGCTTATAGTCCAAATTTTGACAGTGAGGTGAACAGGAAAACAAAGAAAGAAGAGAAAAGACAGTAAGGGCACCAACTGGATAGTATGCCCTTCAGATATACCCCCAGCTGTGTGGGAAGACACTGCTTTTCCAAGAGCAGATCTCCCAGTCCTGTGCATGAGGTGCAGTTCCACAGAAATGGCATTAAGTGTTCCAGCACTCGTCATCCATGTAGGAGTGAGTCACAAATAACTGGCTCTCACATGCATTGGATTACCCATTCATCATTATCCACACAAGAGGAGCTAATATGCCTGCAAATGTTGGCCATTTTGAGATTTCCCAAAATTGTGCATTTGCCTAAAACTTTACAATCTCCTTGCATGCCAAGGCCCCATGACCAACCCATTCCCTAGACACAACATAGTATAGAAATTATTGGATCAAATTAGGCCACAACGTTTATTGGTTAGTGAATGTTTGGCATTGGGTGAAGCCACTGCTATTCCACTCCAGCCCATCTGCTGGAAGTACATCCAAGGGTAAACACAGTCCTTCTCCTTTAGGGATAAAAGGGGAAAGGCTACCTGGAGAGCTGGTTGTGTGTTTGGAGGGAGTCTGTGTACTAATGCAGGTGGTTTCCATTTGCCTTGCCCAATACATTGAATGGGCAAAAACAGTCCAAAAGAAATTGGGTTGGTTCTTTTCTAGGGTTCATCACTATAGATGCAAGTTGAATCTTATGGCTGGTGCAGAGTCCTAATAAATACACACTACTTTAAATGAAGAGTTGGATTTTCTTCCGTAGCTTATACTTGATTGATTTCCTTTTCTGGATAATAATGTTTTTTTGTTAGCTTTTATAATTATGGTAGATTTTTTCCCCCATTTTCTGCACTTTTCATTTCTCTAAAGCTTACCTTCAGTTTTTAATAATGAAACTTTTTTTTTCATTCTTTGGAGACCTGACAACATAAGTAAAAAATTGATTTTCTTGCAATAGTAGTGTGCTGCATATGTTATTTAGTTCCTAAACATAATTACAGAAGGCTCATTGTAGCCAGACTTTGGATTTGTTTGATCACAGCACATATAGATCTTATTCCATTACTCTCCTTCCAGCCTCACCCATGATTCCCATCACACAAGGAGGAGAATGAGGATGAACTAAGGCTGCATTCAGATGTTGGATTTATTGTGCTATTTTCCTTGGTTATCATGCTAGTGCTTCTAACATTCATTTCACACTGCATTGCTTGCTGTGTTGTGGAACTGTGTTTTCTTGATCAATTCTATGGCCATGCCATGCTAAATTTTAAATGGTGGGAAAGAACGATATGCTGGGATGCCACATATTTCGTTAAGTGATATTACAGTGCCAAACTCCCAAGATTTTCCAAGTTAACAAGGCTGCAAATGGAACAACTTCAACTAGGTTTCAAGCAGTGGCTTTTACATCATCTGAAAGATCGCATAAAACATGAAAGACAAAATAAAGTGCTCTGAATTCAGTCCTATCATCCCTGCTTCCTTCCAAACAACACTACTCCTATGCCTGTAGTGCCCCACATGTTATGGGCTCACCTTCTGCAATGGGGAGCCTGGTGTACTGAAATAGAACCCTATTCTAAAGGGTGGGAGATGTATTGCATTGATAACCACCTGGTTTATCATCAAGAGAAACATTTGATAGTTCCATTCGTAGAATGAGGTTGCATCTGACAGAACTAATTGTGTCACAGACGGATAGGTGAAATTCAAAGTTAGAAAGCTTTCACTTTCATAGAAAGGGGTTGGGGTGATAGACAAGGGGGGGGGGAGAATAGAGGCAGGAGTTTGTAGTATCTAATCAACCATGATTGTTTCCTGTGCAAAAGTCAGCTGTGTTTCCACACAATGGCCAAGCTGTTCAGCTTCCTGGCGCCATCCCAAGGTCACTAATTTTCTATTGTTCCTGCTGCCTTATGGAAAATTCTTGTGAAGGATGGTTTTGTTATGTGCATATATGCTAAGTTTTCTCAAGGCAGGGGGACGATGATCCCTAGTCTTGACTGCCTCTTGTGGTTACCAAAGGTGGTCTGAAAGTCATTCGGAGACTGCTTTTCTCCCATTCCTTATATAGAGTTGGTGCCTCCCAGAGGAGGGAGAAACAAGGCATTCTTTCATCATTTGCATGTGTGATTTGTGCAAATTTAAAATGGGCACTTGTGGAGTTGGAGAACTTGAAACAAAAAAAATGTACTTATTTAGAAATAATTGAATGTATGTTGTTGAAGTATGAATACCTGCATAAAAGGATATATGATTTATCCAGAGTTAAAAAAATAATGCATTCCATACTTTGAGTAACATTGGTTACATTCCCTATAATCCCCTCATAATTATTAGGGAGTGTGGGCCATTATCAGGTATATAATTAGATGCAGGGCCAATCCTACAATTAAGGACAGTGAAGCTGTCATCTCACACAGCTCTCTCTCTCTCTCTCTCTCTCTCTCTCTGTGTGTGTGTGTGTGTGTGAGAGAGAGAGAGAGAGAGAGAGAGAGAGAGAGAGATGAAAGGGCAGCAAATGGTTAAATGATTATTTTTATTATTGTATGTTTGTTGCCAGGTAGAGGTCAAGATGCTTCTTTGATTTTGATGTCAGTTACATCAGCCCTGGGTACTATTATGCATCTTGATTTCTTGCTGCCATTTGTTGGGCCATCTCAGGCAGCGCAATGTACTGGGTTGCTTTGGTTAGCTGAGAAAATTGGGTTTTCCCATATTTTATGTGAATTTTATGGTGCTGCTGCCATAATTGTACTTTCCTGTATCTGATGGGGGAGCAAACTACTCATTACACTCAAATGCAAATCACAAAAAAGCAGTCTTGGGATGCTGTGATTCTGAACAGAGGATCAGGACAGAGAGACTGAGGGGAAGATAGCGACAAAGGTAATTATGCAGCAGGTATCTATGCTTCTAAGGATGAATTCAAATAACCAGTTTTCTGTTCCAGTGTTGCCCATGTTAAACCATGACTAAAACCAGAACGTTTATGATTTAGCTATGTATCACAAAATGAAAAGATCACTTCAGTATCAGTGGGTGGTCAACACCCGCCAAGGTAACTGAGGGCCATTTTTATAAGTTACATAAAACTGGATTTTAAAAAAACCCACACACCTTAAATTCACTTGCAAATAAACTACATTGACTAAAATATAAATTCCAGTTAAAAGCAACCCCCTTCCACTTTCTATGCTACATTAACAGCAATCATTAACACCCACTCATCACTAAAAAGCATTTTGTAGAATCATTTAGAAAAGTGATCTGAGCTAGTTCTCAGGACAAACAAAATGGCTGAACAGACTTCTGGCACTCTGTTGGGAATAATTTAAGTATTGCAATGATTTATTCAAGGGCTTTTCTTCTTCTCGTGATCTTAAATTGCTCTCATCTCATTCTCTACCTGTTGGATGCAGCTACTTGGAGAAGACAAATGGCACACCACCACATTGTGTCAGGGCAGAAATGATAACTACATGTTCTCCTTCAAGTCATCTGCCTCTCTGAACATCTGAGAGATTTACTGTAGAAAGCAGTGATCGTGTACTCTACAGCTTTTAAAATATGCTTTGCTAATTTTCAAATACAGATTTCATTCTAGTGATTTGGGTTATTTTCCCTCCCCACCCCTAGAACAATGTTGCAGATTTTAAAATGCACATGGGTCTCTCTATGAGAAAAACTGAATCATGAGCAATATAAAGAGTGACAGATCCACACTGTGGAAGCAAGGACTCCAATTCGGTGGAGATGCATTCTCTACAGACGCTTCCATGGATAGGAAAGGTGAGATAATTTTCACTGATAACAACCAAATAGGGTTATGCATAGGAAAGTGTCTTACTCACCCCAATAGCATTTTGATGCAGTAGTATAGGGATGCCAATTTTGGTCTACAGTGCAATTAAAATAAAATAGAGTTCACGCTCAGAACTAAAAGACAATTTAATAATAATAATAATAATAATAATAATAATAATAATAATGCACTTGATAAGACGATATAGAGACTGTGAGATGAGGGAGATTCGCCTGTGTATGTACGAGCATAGGTGGTCATTTGAGGTAATGTTTTTTGTACCATTCCTAGGCAGCACCCCATTAATGTGCTACAGAATGAAAAATGTGTTGCGTCACCCATCTACCCACGACTGTGAGAAAATCCAGAGAAGCACATTGTGAATTTATATGGCTTAGTCAGAAAATCCCTAGCTGGGAATCCAAGCTCATGACATCAGAGAGAACAAAGAGTCGTTAGCTGTTGTAGCGTAGGCTGATTTGTATGTGTCACAGGCTACCACTTGCTTATTACTCTACCATAACTGTTTATTGCTGTGGGGGGGGGCAGGGAGAGAGGAGCAACCTAAAATTTTGGTATTATACAAAGACATTAATTATATTCATGACTTCTCTCTTTCCCACTGTGGTTAACAGCTTTCATAAACAGAAGAGCATGGAAGGTGGTTCTGCTGTGTGAATGAGTCATGCCAGACTGGCTGGGGAACGTTTGAATCTGAAAATCAGAGGGAGAGAAGCCTGTTTCTTTTTAGCATCTGGTTCAAATTGGCATACAAGTTTTCAGCATATGGCAGGATCACTAGAAAGCAGGAGGCAGGAAAAAATATCAGTGGGTTTGAAGCTTTTGGGGAACTGTTTTGATCGCTGTTTGTTCTTTCAGATTATGTGATGCAACGCCAGGCTGACAAGACAAAACCTAGGACCGAAGAAAATAATTGAATCATTTAACATTAAGGCAAAGGATGTCAGGGGCAAGAGGTAGGATCTCCTGGTACTTTGCTCCGTATGGTGGCAGTTGCACATGGAAGCCGTCATTTATCACATCTATGCAGCTGTGCATGTAAAATATCCCCGCCCAGAAATGTGCTTCTGATATGAAACACTTCACATGATCTACCCCAATAAGTTGTCATCTGCACTATACATTTATAGCGGTATCATGCCACTTTAAACAGTCATGGCTTCTCTCAAAGAATCCTGGCAAATGCAGTTTGTTATGGGTGCTGAGGATGTTAGGACACGCCTATTTCTCCCAGCTAGCTACAATTCACAGAGTAGTTTAACAACCAATCCCTCTTCCCAGGGAACTCTGGGAAATTTAGGTTTGCGCAATTAAAGTGATTAAAGCACTCTGTCACTCTAGCACCAGAAATCTACAGCTCTGAATGCATTGAAAAGTGTTGAATGAATAAATGATTAACGGGAAGACATATAAATACCCTGCCAGAAAATCAAGGTGAATGCTCAGTGCCGTATATAGATGCTGCTTCACTGGAATACACTGGAAGAAAGGAATTACATGGTGTAAAGAAATATCAAACCACTAGAGAGGACCCTCCTCTCTACTCTACTTTACTTTATCTTTTAAAAGCATGCTAACATCCAAACAGCAGTATTTTACAAGCACTATGTAATTAGGGAGAGCTTTTGGAAGTAAAAAAAAATAAACCCTTTAATTACAGCAGAATTGGTTGAATCTAATGGTGGCAATGTCATTAGGAATGAAAGACAGAATTACGTACATTTTCTACACAGCCACCAAGGGGCTTTTGTGCTTGCCCCTTAGGGAAGTATATTTCAGGCAGGAAACAAACAGTCGGATGTGATCACCAGTAGTTTTATTTCTTCTATTTTTGTTCTTTTCAATTTAAAGAATCAACTTCTCCTACACCCACAGACCCTGAATTTACAGGACACATTTTGGTGTTTGATTGAGAAATCCAGGTTTGCCACTCCTTGGCGGGAGACGACATTGGGCAGGATCCATAGAGTTTGAAGGAATCCCCATGGTATTGCCCCTGACCCTAGCTTTTTTTACTCTGCTAAATATATATACAGTGGTACCTCGGGATGCAAACAGGATCCATTCTGGAGCCCTGTTCGCATCCTGAATGGAACGTAAGATGTGATGGTGCGTCTGCGTGTGCGTGGGTCGCGTTTTGCCGCTTCCGCGCATGCGCATGACGTCATTTTGAGTGTCTGCGCATGCGCAAGTGGCAAAACCCGGAAGTAACACGCTCCGTTACTTCCAGGTTGCCGTGGAGTGGAACCCCAAAGGCGCTCAACCTGAAGCACATTCAACCTGAGGTATGACTGTAAACTGTAAGGCAACCTTTTTTAAAAAAACTTAACAGAACACAATAAAGATGGACTCACATTGATTGTCACCCCAAGCTTTCCTGCCTTAATTCTGAGCCCCAAAGGTGATCTTAAGAGGTAGTTTTTACAGTGCTTCTAGAAAATGTTTAGGCTTTGATTTTGGAGAGTCTACAGTAGGAGCGAGTAGAGAGTAGCCACTCAGAATGCCTTTCTCTGCACCATTGCTTTCTGAACACAGACATTTAAGAAGAGCCCTGTTGGATCAGACATAGACCTATCCAGCCCAGCATTCCCTTTCACAGTGGTCAACAAGATGCCTATGGGAAGCTCACAAGCAGGGCATGAGACCTATGGCATTAACCTCTCAGGATCCTCAGCAACTTCCTCAAAGGCATTCTGGGAAATGTGTTTCATCTGGTAAGCAGTAGATGTTGTGGAAGCAACATATTAAATACAAACAAAATTGGGCCCTGACCCATTGGAACCCATTTTTATCCATGCTGACACATTAAAATGTGTCCAGATGCTTGTGCCTTTTATAGGCTATAATGTTTCAGGTGCAGAAGGAATAGAAAACATTGTGCTCCTCGCTGGAGATACCTGCATAATTCAAGGTGTAGTTTAGGGAAAGAATTGAGTGCATGCTGGTTTACCATAGGCATCTTGTTGACCCTTGTGAAAATGGGATGCTGTGCTAGATGGGCCATTGGACTGAATCAGCAAGACTCTTCTCACATTCTTAAGGTATCAGCCTGGATAGCTCAGTTGGTTACAGTGTGGTGCTGATAATGGCGAGGTTGCAAGTTCGATCCCCTAGCTACCTAAGAGAACCAAGCTGCACATTTCACAGGCAACCACAGAGAGAGAGGTGGGGGAGAGAACTCTTATATATATCATTCACATGTTTTTTATCCATGGCAATTGCAATGTTGTCAACACAACTCTACCTTCTATATAATTTCACCATGGTTACAATTGTCAACCCCACCTAAGCAATGTAGTCACTATACTTCCTTCAGCCACCCATCTGGCGATGAAAGAGCCTGTAGACTTGGCAAAGATCCCTGTTTTACGAATCTGCATCCTTTCTTCCTTTCCTCTGTAATAACACCAAGCCAAATTTTAACTGGACAGAACCCCAGTGAAATCGCTAGAGTTTCATTAGACAGGTCCCCCCCCCCACCGCTCCCATTATGCAAGCCACCTGGAGCTATATAGCTTAACATTCTCTTTTATTGTCACCAGTGGAGATGCAGAGGAAAAAGAGAAACATTTGAAGCAAGCAGATAAAATAGAACAGTTTCAGGCCTATTAATCTCTCCACCCGCCCCACATTGTGAAAAGTGACAGTCCAACTCCACCAGGGTTTCCCTGCCTTATCTCACTCCCGTCTCAGCCAGTATTCAATTGTCTTTTGCATATGCATCAGCCCTAAAGAGCCAAGAGCTAACGAAATGAACAAAACTGATAACCCAAGGAAATGCTCTCACCATCTTCTTCCCAGAAATATGTAGTACTGAGGCGGCAAGTGAATTTTTGTAACACTTCAAAATATTAATGCTCTGCCAAATATATATATATTGCAAAAAGAACCCTCAAAACACATAACATTAAATACTGTTAAATATTGTGTGTTGCATGCCTGATATTCTGAGATGTTGATATCCGCTGCATCACAGGTTTGAAATATTATCAAATACAGTTTGCTACTTTATATTTATAAATATATATATTGTTTTATTGTTTATCTTAATGAACATCTATATTTTAATGGGATTGTTTCATTGTGTATTTTAATTATGGATGTTTATATTTTACTGTCTGTGCAACTGGTTTCTGCATTTTGCAAACTTATTAGAAGCCTACTTTGGCATTAATCAGTACATTCATTAATGTCAAAACAATATTCGCCATATTATATTACATAAGATTCGCAGATAGATGTCAGATACTGCCAAAAACTGCCACACAATGTTTGTTCTCAAACATTGTAAAATACGCCATGTCACCTGTTAGATACTGGTCAAATATTGAAATAAGGAATTATATTTTAAATCTGTGTTTTAAATATTTGGGGAGGGAAAACATATGAATGTGAAGAAAGTGTTCATTAGCCTAGGAACTTGTGAAGAGTTTTAAAGGTCCTCCGTTAAGAGGTGAGAACAAATTATGTCTCTCCCTCACTCTGACCACATTTCCACCAGTACAATATGAACATAGATTCTTTGCTTCCTGGCAAAGCAAAAATAATTCAGACTTCTGCTAATTGGAGGGCAGGGCTTTCCACTGTTCAGCTTCTACAGCTTTTATGAGATGGCACTTTCAGGACAGTCATAGATACTTCGCCATCCAGGTGCGATCTGGCTTGAAAGAGGGCTTTCATAGACCAGTGGCCACACATGAGGTGCTGAACAAGCCCTTAACAAGTTTGCCTACACCTCTGAATCATGCCTGAGTCACTTGCCCATGTGCCAAGAACATTCAGTCTTCTCTATGGGGAACAGAGCAAACTCGCTGGTTTACACAAGATTAATTGGGAGGAAAGGTAAGGTGGTGTGTTTATGCCAGCCATGGTTGCCAGTTTATTAAAGTGCCTAAGTCTAGCAACACCTCAGCAATGGCATGGATTTCTTTAAAATAACTTTTATTAGAGTTTATAAAGAGAGATACAAAGATTATTGTCAAATATCTTTTTTGGGGGGTGGTCCAAACCAAAACATTAATCCGGAAGCAGAAAGAAAGAAAGAAGAAAAAGAGAGGAGAAAGAAAAAGAAAAGAAAAAAAGAAGAGAGAGAGAGAGAGGAAGAGATAAAGAAAAAGGAATTGAAAGGAATTGAAAGAGAGAAAGAAAAGGAGAGAGAGAAAAGGAAGGAGGTGGAGGAGAAAAGTTAAGAAGTTAAAGAACTTCCAGTTCTTTGTGTGTCCACTATATATAAACATTATTCACTTCATCCACTCCAGTATAACACCCAACAAACCCACTTTCTATAAATCATTATCCCCATTCCTCAAATCCAAATGTCATTATTTCTTTTTCTTTTTCACACAGAAAGTCCATGTGAGGTTTCCATTTTTTTAGTAAATGTTAACAATGACTTTTCTCTGATTAAACATGTCAATTTCGCCAACTCAGCCAAGTCCTTCAATTTTAACAACCATTCATCAATTGTTGGTAATGATGATTCTTTCCATCTTTGTGCATATAAAAGCCTCACTGCCCTAATCATATACTGAAGCAAAGCTCCACAACAGTTTTCTAACTGTACATCCATATGTCTCAGCAAGAAGATTTCTGGTTTCAAATTAAAAGTTAACCTTCAAAATTCTCTGTGTCAGTGTATGTATTTGTATCCAATATTTTTTACTTTTTTTACATGTTCACCAAGCATGATAAAAACTTCCCTTCATGTTCTTCACATTTCCAGCAAGTATTTGGGGTAGTTTTATAGATTTTTAAATAATTTCTCAGGAGTATAGATGTAAACCTAGGTTATATACAAAGGTACCCTTATGGATTTCAACACAAGAAGTGTTTCAGAGAAACAGAGGCAGCTACATCTCTATTCACCTTAGTCAGTATGGCCAATGACCAGGGATGGTGGGAACTGGAGTTCAGCAATGTCTGGGGAAGGTGACTCTCAGGGATGTAGTCCAAAAGTATCTGAGGATCCATGGTTGGGGAAAGTTTTGTTTTTTAAAAACAGCAACAGCACTGATACCTAGGAAAACTCGAATCCATTTGCAAAAAACTCACAATGTGTGAGGTGACCATGAGCCTCTATTTATTAACAGTTGCAGTATATGTGAAACAAATGAGCCACCTTGATTTTGATTCCTTACATTAATCCATTTGATGCTAATGGGTTGTTAAATTTGCATGTGTGTACACTGCTATTATGCAGGTGCGCTTGACTTGTGACAGTGAAAGTGCAGATACATTCATTTCTTCCCACGCAGAAAGGAAGAGTGGAATGAAGAGAGGCAAGTGAAAATGGAGAAACTCAATCAATGAATCACCTGAAAACTCAGTCTTGGTAATTCAGGTAGTGGACCTTTCCCCTCCTTTCCTTTCCTTAGAAAAAATATAAACATAGTGTCTGTTTCACACTGAAAGTTGTGCTGGTCCAGGACAAAGTGTCACCTTTTGGAAATTGCACCCGAACATCAACTCAGTGCCTTTGAAATCCCTAACTTATTCTAGCAACTGAGCCATCCTCAAAAAGGCATCAGCTCACATAATGTTTCTTTTCTAGATATCATCTGATGCATGATTCACATGGCTGTATCTCAAATATTCATTTTCACATAATAGCACATCTCTCAACACACCCATTGAATGAATGCGAAGGCTTATGACATAATAATCTGGTGTCAGAGACGATAACCTACCTAACCTGATTAGGAGTGCATATATGGCTGAATACTGATCTAATCAGGCTATAAATAAAGGGTGTGCCAGTATTCTAGCTAAGCTGCTTATGGCCAGAAGGTTACATTGCAGGATCACTGCCATTCAGGGACACTGCACAGCAGATCATGACTTTATTGCAGCTGTTCTGCTCAGGTTGGCTTTCTTCCATTCTCTCAGATTGCTATCATTGCAGGTGATGTGTGAGCTGAAACAGCAATCCTCGGACCATTGGACCACAGTCGTGCTATTTTCTGGACTTGGTTGTGCCATTTATTGTAGTTGACACTATGCAATCGAATATGTGAACCAATAGACCTTGATGAAAACTAGCATGTTTGCTTCAATACTTTCATTATCCCCCATGGGAAAAGCTGAGCCATGTGGAAAGAGCCACACTAGAATCAGAGTTCAGCTCAGGAAGAGATTGTGAGCAGGATTCTTCCCATCTGATCCCAATCTTACTTTGGGATGACTACAGTCTAACATCACTAATGGAGCCTTAGAGAAAAGTAAAAGTGAAGCCATGACACTTCTGCAAACATAAGCATTTCAGGTGATACATATTTGTGTTGTCTGATGGTCCGCAGCTGCCTTTTCACACCTGCAAGTCCCTCTTTGATGCTGCAGTCACTGAAGGAGAGGTATGCATGTGTGAATCAGTCCCTGGGGTTTTTCCACACTCCAGTTTAAAAGCAGATTAAGAGATTGTACCATGATTAACACTTATCCTTGTGTATACACTGTGCAAGGCTGCTGCTTGTGATTGTGGCCACCAGCATGATAAATGATGTATGTGGCTGTGTGTGTGCATGTGTAGCCATTGATGTTCAAATAAGAACACTGTAAATCATATAATCGCTTAATAACTTTGCCTCCTTGTCAGAATGCTCCTCCTGTCAATTACACAGAATTGCCTCCTTGACAGATAGCTTCTGTCAATTACACAATGAACTATCAGTTTGATTTCATTGCCCGCTAGTTCTCTACAGCCGCCCTTGGGCTAGAACTTCCATTCCACTCTCCCTTGCCATTGCAAATGAAGCACATATGTGTGCTGTTAGCAGTGAGCAGCTTTCATTAGATGGTGTACACAAACACAATGAATTAACTTGTGTGTGGACTACCTCCTTAAGTGCAGCCTAACTCTGAGATTCTCTGATCCCTCTCCGCCTTGAAGGAACCCTGCTGCAAGCCTCTATGACCAGCCCTGCCAGGAAGCTGTATATTATCTTTCAAATAAATCAGTTGGGTTATGAAAACCTGTGCAGAACTGGCATATGAGGGCACGGTGCCTAAATAGAAGTTTGCAGATGATTCTGCCCAGTGTGATTCATAGTTAATAAAATCATATCCATGAAAGATGGCTTGGCATGAATAGTTAAAATCATAGTTCAAATTGTGCAACTACAACTCATTACGAAC